CAGTGCAGAGCCAGTAAATGGAGAGAAAAAGAGGAGTTAGAAAAGGAAAAGGGACAAAGAGGAGCGAAGAGCAGTCTTTTAAAGGAGGCAGCAAGTGTGTGTTAGACCTTTTGTAAAGGAAGCCATTCATGCAATGTTTTTAGAGCTCTCCCATCAACTTGCTGTTGTATTCCTTATTCATTGTGGTTACGCTGATTGTAGTTTATTGTACTCTTGTGAAAAGGTTCTCACTTTAAAATGAGTGTGTTCTGTTTAGTTGCAGGAGAGAAAACTTCACAAGAGTTCAGTTTTGAGTTACTTTAAGTGCAAGGTGGTCAAAGTTTCCAGTAATTCTTTTTTAGATGAACATCACTGAAATAAGAACCCTACTGCAACTGTTGCCTTGTCGTTGACTTTGATTCAAGATCTGCGCAATGCAAATTTAATAATCTAAAAAAATGTATACTAAAGCTTTCATGTAAAAAATAGATTCAAGACTGCAAAGAGTCTGAAGCAGATCCTGTGTGAAGAGACTCATTGTTTGTACTACTGTTATCTCTGGAATTTCAAGGAAACTAAACTTTCATTAACTATCAAGTGAGAAGTCACTCTAACCTTTTATTTTGCATTGTTGTTCATTTGAATCTCACCTTAGATTGAGGACTTCTCTGAAGATGTTCATGTCTTATCAAAATTTTAATTTAGGTCTATGCCAAGTAACTCTATTCCTAAACCATGAGTTTCCTCCATGTTTTATTTTCCTGGTTCAATACATCTTAATCACATAAATGGCTCATTGAGAGGCCTCTTCATTCCAAGCAGCATTGAAATAGAAACCACACTGAAACCTTTAGTCCTTCTCAAATAATTAATTTTTAACTAAGTTCATCAAGTACTTTGGAAGTACTTTTTAGCATAAAGTCACTGGTTTAACTTCAAAGAAATCCCATGACAATGTAAATCTAATAAATAGTCCAGATTTCTGTTTTGGATCCAGAAGTATTCTGGTTGCCCCAGTCCTCCAAACACTGATGGGCAGTCACAAGTGAGTAAGCTTTGGATGCATGTAGACAGTCATGCGGCAAGCCAAAGCAAAGTACTTGACAATGGTAATGTGTGTGGGGGGTCGGGGTGTACATTATCATTGGACAGAGCATTGAACAACTGTCAGAGATGCAGTCGATGTCATTTGTCATGTCTCCCCGGGGCTTTATGACAGGGTTGGAAGCTGGAGGCCAAGCGGCTGAACCACCCATCTAGTCCCAGCAGATGTGTTTACCGCCATTCGCCATGGTTGACCATCAGGCAGCGGCAGCTGAGCACCAGAATATCAATACGGTTCAGACTCTGCCATTTCCCCTGGGACTATCTACTAAGGAAATAGGGCTGTCCCTTTTCTCTTTACTGAAAGAGGGATAGAAAGTCTTTGCCACCAAGGAAACCAATAAAAACATGACAGAACACTAGTTTGAATCTGTTCAGATTGACATTTGGAAACCCAACACCTGAGGCGATTTTCTTTATTTTTTTTTCTCCAGTTTTGGCTGCAGGAGGGAGACAGACATGTCCATTGAAGGGCCATCTGTGGGGTGGCATGGAAAATAGAAACAGTAATCCTTTTGTGTCCATCATCCAGAGAGTTGTTTTTGTAAGAGAGATGAGGCGGGGTTGGAGTGTAAGGAATAAATGATTGTGTGTTTCTCCTCTTGTTATATGATACCTGAAGTTAATCCTCCAGGTGAATGACAGAGGTGTACATTCAAACAAACTGGTACTTAGTTGAGGTGGTAACTGAGCTGAGTTAAGTCTTTTATCCAACAGTAGAGCCGAATAATTCTTCTTTAAGTGGTAAAGTGTTCAGTCCATTTGTAGACATGTCTTTCTTCTGCTTATTCTTGCCTGGAGCTCTCAGTGTTGGTTGTGTAAGTGGCCAGAAAGCCTCATGTCAGTAGCTCTGGATCAGTTCACTCTTAAGAAATAAAATTTCATCCCATTCAACTTCCATTTTATACCTGTAAATAAAACATTTCATTCCCAACTACTGTTCTCGTGGTGGTCAGAAAAACATTTAAATCTAATTTAACTAAGTGGTACTAATTAATATTTGGGCCAGCTGATTCTTAAGAAATCTAACAGATTATGGCCACAGATTATGGCCACAATTATCAGCACTCCGGATAATTCAAGTAATATAACCACATTACAGTTGTCCAGGAGTAGATCATAGAAATGAACTCAATGTTCCCCCTGCTAGCAACAAAACAATCCATTCTCGAATAAAACCTCCCACACCAAAATGGCCAAAACTGCAAAGTTGCCAAATAGCAAGATTGTAAACACTCCATGCAAACATGATAATGAAATGAATTGGGTTGCTAGTCATTGCACCCTTTAATCCTTCTGTACTTGTACAGTTTTGGTCAGATTCACTATGATTGAATGTAATAGGAGATTATTTGGTGAAAACATTATTATAGGCCCTATTGGTTGGTTGTGTTTCTGGTCCCCCACATTTGAGTTGAATTGTATGAAATATGGCACATTATGATTCCAGGTCAAACCAAAATAACTGAGCAGTTTTTGTTTGTGAAAACATTTATTTGATTAATTATTGGTTGTTAAAGTTTGATTGAAAGATTTGACATGAGTGCTACAAATTAATGCCCACTGCAGAATGTTTTTTTTTCACTGAACACGACTTTACCATTTATCAATAGGTCATAAAATACTGAACTACAGTATAAATCAAAATTTACATTCCATGATGTAGGTACATGGATAATATGTAGGTATGAAATTATGGTTTAAATTGACCCCGAGCCGATAAATTCAGAAGATGTGTTTATCAACATGAAGAAGTACAAGTTACCTCTTGTTGGAAGTGAATAATGGGACCTAATTGAGCTGTAACATGCTGGCTGGTTGCCAGGCTGTTGAACTGAAAAACTCTCCCCATCAGATGGAGCTCTACTGAGAGGGAGATTGCTGTTAAAACCCTGTTGGACATTCTCACACAGACATGTATTAATCTATAAGCCACCCTTAGATCAGGTTGCATTTAATTGATGGGAAGTTGCATTTACCTGCAAGTGTGATGTGTTTGGTTTAACTGCACCTGAGCGGCCTTTTCTGTCAGCTAGAGCGCAGACGTGTTAAAGTCGGATCAATTCTCCAGAGAAGCTGCACAGCCTGTCTCCTGGCACCTGCCTCACGAAGAACAGGCAAGAGGAAAAGAGGGGAGGCAGAGGGGGAGGAGGAGGAGGAAAAACCCAGCTGCCTCTGTGCCTGAGCCCCGTGCTGCTTTTAAAGGAGCGGGAGGGAGAGGAGGGAGACTGCTGGCACCATCTGTACACGTCTTTTGTATTCCAGCCCTCGTCTTTACACAGAGTGAGGCTGGTGTGCTCAGTGTTCAAATGAAAGGATAGGAGGTGCCTTTTGGGGGCGGAGGTGGTTCCAGCGCACTTGTGTGTCGATGCAGAAACTCGGCGTCAGAGGACATCTTGTGCCCTATTTATTTGTGCACTGCACAGTGTCAGTAAAGCTCACACTGTGTTTGCAAGCAGCCATGTGTGGCCACATACCTGGGTTGCCAGGTTTGTGAAGGGAGTCAGTGCCTTTTGTTTGCTCAGCCCTCCTATCAACCCCATTAGCCTGGTGTCTCCTCTGTCAGCAACTCACTGAAGTTTGTTTTTTTTTATTGTGAAGGTAGGATGTGCAAGGCAGACCATGTATGTATGTTGCAATGTAGATGCAAGGACAGCCTGAACTCTCTGCTGTCACCCTGAAGTGAGTTTTTATTATTATTATTGCATGAACTGCAGCTAAAGTCACTCACCCATCCACCCCTCCAGGCCCTGAAGTGGTGTGAAGCATAAGGAGAGGTTGCTACCTTCCTCTTAGATTGAATCCACTTCCCCTTTTCGTTTCTGCCGCTTCAGACATAAAATCAGAGGGAGTAAGGAGGAAAAGTGAGTGCTTTGTACACAAACATTCACTGCAGAAGAAAAGCATATGATGACCCAACAGACTGTTGGCTGTCAAACTGTGTGGTGGGTGGATAAGGGTGGAAGAAACAGAGTTAGGGTGAACTCTAGTGGCTACAAGGAATAATTACAGCCATGATTTATTTTACTTCCCTCTATAAATTAGGTCTACAGTTATGTTTTTTTTTTTACTGTTGGAGAGATTTGGTTTAAAAAGTATTAAGTATGTGAATAGAAGTTTGTAGAATATATTTTTGTTGCTAATTGTGATAATACATTCAGTCAGCAGATCTTTATATTGCTACAATTATACTTACAATTTATAACGTAAAATATCAACACCCATTGAGCTGTCTTACATCTAATATTACAACCACAAATGTCTGTGAACTTTATTTGGCTTTTAAGTGACAGAATAACATAAAATTGGGAAAATTATACAAAGATTTTTTTTCTACAAATAAAAGTCTCATAAGTTTGATGTGTATTTTGTATCCCACTCGCTTATCTGTAATCACATCATTTGTAATTACTTATTGAATTAACTTTATTTTTTATTTGGCCGATAGAAATTTTACAACAAATATGTTAAAATATTTTGTGTTTTAACACAAATTTTGGATTTGTGTTAAATAGTTAAATAGTGTCATAGTGTTTTAGGCAGTTGATGGTCAGCTATATTTGCCCAGCGTTGTAGTTTCTTTCTCTCATAAAACTATGATCCATCATTGAATTTCATTGGTGCTCAGCTGTTCATTGAGGTAAATAACATTCTAATAGTTTAAACACTAAGAAACTGCTCATTAGAAACATAATTTTAGTTTATGCAGGAGTTACTCACTAATATGTCTGATATATAATTTTGCTTTTAGCTCTTTGTCGTGTTTTTTTTTTTGGTTGCTTTTTTTATTTTCACCCTGTCCTACATATTTGGTTCTTATGTAAGGAACCTGACTGGAAGGTGTGTTTCCCATAGTGGAAAATATTATCATGTGCTGACCAGAGCTGTCAAATTCTCTTCTTCTGCTCTCTCTCCAGCTCTGTTGTCTTCGTGGTGTGAGGAACTGGGACGGCTCCTCCTCCTCCGTCATCAGAAGAACAGGCAGAACGAGCCACCGGGAAAAGTGCCCATGCAGCCCCCGATGAGCTCCATGAAACCAGGCCTCTCGCATGGGTCCGTGTCACTTTGCTGTTACCATTGACACACTATATGCATTAATGTTGTGTCAGCTGACAGACCATACTGGTTGAGAAATTACTACTATCCGTACGGATTCAACATAAATGATGTGTTTGTGTTGCCCCACTGTAGAGATGGTTCTTTCCCCTACGACTCAGTTCCCTGGCAGCAAAACACCAATCAGCCTCCGGGTTCGGTGTCTGTGGTGACCACCGTCTGGGGGGTGACCAACACGTCACAGAGCCAGGTAATATTCTGTCCCTGCAAGAAGTACTGTTTGAGTTAGATCTCATCTCATGTTATCAAAACCTGAGTTTATGTCGTTTTCCAACAGGTGTTAGGGAATCCCATGGCCAACAACAATAATCCCATGAATCCTGGGGCTAACCCTTTGACCTCAGGGATGTCTGGTAGCAATCCAGTTATGAACTCTCCTCAGTTCACTGGCCCACAGCAGCAGTTCCCCAACAAAGGCAACTCAAACCAAGGTTACATGCAGCAGGGTATGTATGGACGACCCAACTACCCTGGAGGTGGAGGTTACGGTGGCAAGTAAGTGAACTCTGGACTTTTTACATTGTAGTATTTAGAAAATGGAGCTTGTAGTAACTTTTATCATGTTGTTTCTTGGCAAAGTTACCCAGGAGGACCAAATGCTGGACCAGGTGGGATAGGCATCCCTCCGAACTCTCGTCCTCCGTCGGATTTTACCCAACCTGCTGCTGCCGCTGCAGCCGCCGCTGTTGCCGCAGCAGCTGCAACCGCAACTGCCACCGCTACAGCAACTGTCGCAGCCCTGCAGGAGACTCAGAACAAGGACATGAACCAGTACGGACCGGTAAGACAAAGTTTGCTGCTTGGAGCAAGAATAAAACTCTTCGATTTACATTCAAATCAGTTGTCTTTTTAATCGTAATCATCTTTGCATTTAAGTAAATTTCTTTTATTGCTGACTGTTTTGTCTTGCTTGTCAGAAAGTTTTGTCTTTTCCAACATATTTTTAAAAACAAACATTTACTACATCAGAGATGGTTGATTGAACAAATTTCGTTTTCCAGATGAGTTCCTCTTTCCAGATGGGACCAAACCAGGCATACAACAACCAGTTCATTAATCAGTCAGGACCCCGTGGTCCTCCATCTTTACCTGGAAACATGGGTGCAGGCATGAATGCATCAAACATTAGTGGCCCTCCAATGGGAATGAACCAACCTAGGGGCCAAGGCATGGGGCCATTTGGGGCCCATGGCCAAAGGATGCCCCAGCATGGCTACGCTGGACCCCGGCCTCAAGGCATGGGCATGCAGAGCATGAAAAGACCATACCCAGGAGAGGTGAGTCGTCTATTCAACACCCGTTCACAAAATGCTAATATTTGTTAGCATTATGTGTGCTGAGCATTTGTTGTCATCCTCAGCCAAACTATGGTGGGCAACAGTACGGACCAAACAACCAGTTTCCCAACCAGCAGGGGCAATACCCCACTCCCAATGGCTCAAGACCACTGCCGTCTCCCAGCTACCCTGGACAGAGGATGCCAGGACAGCAGCTACAAGGCCAATACCCTCCACATGGCGGTCCTGTGGGCCAGTATTATAAGGTGCTTTTTGCTAAAAATGTGATGATTAATAAACCACAACATAAAATGTTGTTTTATTCATCTGATTAATCTAATTGCAGCAAGAGCCACCATTCAATGGCCAAACAAATAACTTCTCTGGGAGTGGATATCAATATAATCAGGCTAATTTGAATGGGGTGAGTTTTTATCCCACTGTCTAATTGTATTACTTGGCCCATCTTCCAATGAATATCTAACTTAAGTTCAACTGGTTTCTGCTCAGCCTCCAAGACCGGTGGGCAACTACCCACACTCACCAGTGCCAGGTAACCCCACCCCACCAATGACTCCGGGCAGTAACATCCCTCCATACCTGTCGCCAAACCAAGATGTGAAGCCACCTTTCCCTCCAGACATCAAACCAAATATCACCGCCCTTCCTCCACCTCCAGGTCAGTTACTGAAAAATCTGAAACGAGGGAAATAAAGAATGTCCTAGAATTTTTTTATACCCTCAATGCTCTTGTCTCCTTGTCCTCGATTTTAGTCAGCCACAATGAGGAACTACGACTGACGTTTCCTGTGCGGGACGGGGTTGTGTTAGAGCCCTTCAGGCTAGAACATAACCTGGCTGTAAGCAACCACGTCTTCCACTTACGGCCCTCTGTGCACCAAACGCTCATGTGGAGGTAAAACTCGATAGAACTTTAAATTTTCATGATTTCTCTCTGTATCATGAAAGAAATCAAGAACATCACAAGATGTTCTTGTGATTTGGAGTTGCCAAATCACAAGTTAATTTTAACTTTTGCCCATCGGTATTTTACTGACTAAATCCAAATTTATTCAAAAACTAAGAAACGGACATTTTACTACTTGTTTAGTTTTCAGACAACTTTAAATTCAAGTTGAAATTTAGAAACTTGAGTGCAGGAAGCATAGAATTTTGTCTCTTAAATTCTGTTTGTTTGCAGGTCAGACCTGGAGCTGCAGTTTAAATGTTACCACCATGAAGACCGTCAGATGAACACTAACTGGCCGGCATCGGTCCAAGTCAGCGTCAATGCCACGCCACTCACAATAGAGCGAGGCGACAACAAAACATCGCACAAACCGTTGCACTTGAAACATGTGTGCCAGCCGGGAAGGAACACGATCCAGATCACAGTGACCGCCTGCTGTTGTGTGAGTAAACTGAAGTCCAAAATGAGCAGAAAAAGAAATCTAATCTAACATTTTCTGACAATAAAAAAATTAATTACATTTTATATTAGATTTGATCATTTTTATGAGTGTTTATCTCCATAATTCATGAAACTGCTTAACTAAATAAATAAACTAAATAAAAATAAAACTGCTGTGCTTTTGGCTATAAAATTTAAGTAGATAGGAACAAAGTGACAATGTGTTGAAATGAGAGAGGAGCATGAATTGACCTGCAGGCATTTATAACTCGTATACCTGGGGAGGATGTTGGTGAGTTACCACAATGTTTCCTCCCACAGTCGCACTTGTTCGTGCTGCAGCTGGTGCATAGGCCATCAGTCCGCTCCGTCCTGCAGGGTCTCCTAAAGAAGAGGCTGCTGCCTGCAGAGCACTGCATCACCAAAGGTATAATCCACTCTCCCATAAGCCACACCACAGTGTCCTAATTATAAGTGGACATTTTGCTTTAAACATTTTTCCTCCTTCTTTCCACTTTAAAGTCAAGAGGAACTTCAGCAGCGTGGCAGCGTCGACAGGGAACGCCACGCTCAACGGGGAAGATGGAGTTGAGCAAACAGCCATCAAGGTTTCTCTCAAATGTCCGATCACTTTCCGACGAATACAACTTCCAGCGAGGGGGCATGACTGCAAACATGTTCAGGTGAGATGGACGTTGTGAAAAATATCATAAGTACCTCAGAAATTTTTTAAGTATCTGATTAAAGACATGATTGTTTCCTTTGTTCCAGTGTTTTGATTTGGAATCATATCTACAACTGAACTGTGAGCGGGGAACGTGGCGATGTCCAGTATGCAAGTACGTTTACTCTCTTTAGATCCACAGTTGATTTGTTGTCCACTTCATTGTCTCTGCACTCAGATGGATGATCTCTTAATTACTCTTGTCTCTCCATAGTAAAACAGCGTTGTTAGAAGGTCTGGAAGTTGACCAGTATATGTGGGGAATACTGAATGCCATTCAAAAGTATGCAGAGTTAAAGACATTTTATTGCATAAATTACCTCTTCTCATGTTTTTTTTTATTCCCTAACCATTTGACTTCAACTGTTTTCCATCAGCTCTGAGTTTGAGGAAGTCACAATTGACCCAACATGTAGCTGGCGACCTGTGGCGATCAAATCTGACATCCACATTAAGGAGGATCCAGATGGACCACTGGCAAAGAGGTTTAAGACGATGAGTCCCAGTCAAATGACCATGCCCAACGTGATGGATATGATCGCTCAACTCGGCCCTGGACCGTCACCGTACCAGGCGATGCCCTCGGGGCAAGGTGGCAACAGTAGCGAATATGGCAGCCAAGGTAGTTGGTCTTATGCAGCCCTAGTGTGCAAAGACCATCCAAACCTATATGTGTGTTTACATTTGTTACTCTGTTTTCAGGCAACAATTACCAAGGACATGGGAACTTTGACTTCCCCCATGGCGCTCCAGGTGGTACATCAATGAATGACTTCATGCACGGTCCTCAGCTGTCTCACCCACCTGACATTCCAAGTAGCCTGATGACGCAAGACAAACCCTTGTCCCACAACATGCCTGACACAGTGAGTCCTCCAGCCGTTGTTCTTCTATTGAAAGTCCTGAATTTTTTATTTCACTTTTATTTGCATGTTCTTAATTAGGATGTCAAAATGATGTGTATTATCTGGCCTGTGTATTAAAGAAAATAAAAGAAGTCTTTCATATGCACGTCAAAGATTAGGGTGATGGCAATGAGGCTTTCAGCCTCACAAACCTGGTGCTAACCCGGAAAAAAATCATAAAAATATCGGTGGAAAAACTGGGTCAGTAGAGTTTGAGTGCATAATATTTTCCACTAACTATTAGTGATTTTGATACTATTAAACATGCAATATTTTAGTAAATTGTATTCTTTTTTCCAAAATGGATACTCTTATTACATCTTTTATTATCTTTTTAAAGACGCCAGTCTCAGGTCAGACAAATATTTTTTTATTTAAATCTCTCATTTGTGAATAATTTTGAACTCAACTATTACTAAATTAATTTGTGTGGAATTGTAATCGAACTTACAAGAAACTGTTGGTTATTTGTATGTTCAGTGCTGAACAGAGTACTGTTTTCTGTGCTTTTGTGATCTTCTATTAACTGTGCGCACAATATTTCAGACTTTTACTTTTATGTTAATTTTTATTTTGTCTAAGTTAATTTACTGTAATATACTTTAACAGTGGGAGAAGTTTTGTAGTTTGTGAAATGTCATAATTGTATCATTTGGAAATCACAAACTGTAAAGCACACCCCAAGATTAACTTATTTTTTATTCTTAATCTAGAAAATATATTTACTTTAGTGCTGAGACACTGAAAGGCTAACAAGAGACTGATCTGCTGGAAAGCGGGAGTTTCACATTACAATGAGAATTATAAGTCTCTCCTTTGCTTTGTATTTTTTGTAAGATTGGATGAAAGTGGATTGCCTTCATTTAAAATAATGATTAAGCTGGGCTAGCAATACTCCAAAATTACCTAACTAGTGTCTTGAAAGTCATATTTCTCACATATTTCTCTCATATTTCTCTCTGAATTTCTACAGATACCTCATTCTGCCGGGCCTGACCAGAGCCACGGTCCGCTGCAGCAGAGCTTACATCCATCTCCGCACCCCGGGAGCCAATCAGGGCAGCAGCTACACCACGGCGGCCCCCCTCAGCCCTCACGGCAAGCACCGCTGCCTCAGCAGCAGCAAGCACAGCAGCAACAGCCCACCGCCAACAACCATCCCCACACCGACCTGGCCTTCAACCCCTCCAGCAGTTTGGACAGCCAAGCGGGGTCGGACATGCCCGAGCCTTCGTTAGATGTGAGTTCTGGAAAACCCACAGAAACAGCACATTCCCCTTGAACCTTTACACATTTGGCTGCATTAAAAAAACCAAAAGTTAATTCATTTTATTGGGAGGTTGTGAGAAGTTTCTTCAGCTAATTCTTGCAAATCTCCTTTTCTGTTTTGCAGCTTCTCCCTGAGCTCGCTAACCCAGACGAACTTTTGTCGTATTTGGATCCTCCAGACCTCCCCAGCAATAGCAACGATGACCTTCTGTCGCTCTTTGAAAACAACTGAGAGGCTTTCAGACACCCACACACATAAACTTGTATCGATCGCCTGAAGCTTCCCTGAGAAACCGTGACAGTTACTCAGTACTTGATCAACACAAAGATGCACTCCCTTTCTCTTCTTCCTCTTGTACAATTTACATTCGCCAGCGCAGATTGACTGCAAAGAATCTCAAAGAAACTCAAAAGACACAGCAGGATTTGGTGGAGCTGCCACACCCCTCCACCTCCTGTTGTGACACCCTTGACTGTGCAGCTATAGTTGATTTTATTTTTACACCACACACATGTACGTGTGCTCACTAGTAACATGTTGTAGCATTTTTAAAATACTTTTTTTTTTTTTTTCTTTTGAAGCTAAAAAAATTAAAAATGAACTCATTGTATAAAGCAGAAAAATAACTGAATAAACTGTGCTCTCTGGCCAGTGTGTGTTATGTTTTGTAGTCTCAGAGGCCACAACTTCCTGGTGTCACTGCTCCATTCCCTGACTGGTCTGGTTAGTCGCACTGTTTTGTCCTTCACCTAAAAGCACAAGAAATTTTAGCACTGCAAAAAACGAAACAAAACAACAAAAACAACAAAAATATATCTTTCCAAAAAGGAATGAGATCAGTTTTCTATACATTTGCTGCCAGCGTTTTAAAAAGATTTTTGAAAGAGATTGGCTTCCACTTCGCCTACAATTGTGCTGTGTATTTATTTCAGTCTGTGAAATCCAACTGAAGCAGGGAGTACTTGAAGCCTACAATAACAGAAAGTATGTACATGATGCCTGGTCATGATGCCTCTATTACAATGACTGATTTGTTTCTTTAAAAATAAAACAATAGGTAAAAAGAAAGATTGAAGTTCCTGCCATGTTATCTGCTTCCATCTGCTCTGCATGAGCCTTATTTTCTGTATTTTTGCATCATTTCACCTCTCCTTAAATAATGTGCTGTTGAGGTAGTCTTCAAAGTGCATGTGTGCCAAGCCCTTTGTCAAATAGTGTTTTTTCGCTTTGTCAAATTTGTTTTGATTTTATTTAACACTAACATTGAAGGTATCAGTTGTACATCTGTCATGTATCTGCTGGTTGTTCTTTATTTTTATTTTCCTTTGCTGCTGCATAATTACACTATCCATCGTTATTTTTGAGAAACTGCTCACCAAAGCTAGAGGGATGAGAATGAAAATGTTTGTGTTTGCTCGGTCCTGTGTAAAGCTGCGTGTGCATGGGTGTGTCTCGATAAGTTAGAATATCATTGGAAAGTTTATGTATTTTACTAATTCATCTCAAAATGTGTTTTATTCTATTGTTTCATTACATACAGGGTACTTTAGGCATTTATTTTTTATGTTTTTGAACGATAAAAATCCCAAATTACATTTCACAGACATGGAATAAAGACGTGGTGACTTCAAAGAGTCTTAGCTTGGCTGTTTTTCCAAATGGTTTTTAATATTATGCTATCTTTTAATTTTGGCCTCATTTATAAACTATGACTGGTTGTTTGTTGGCATGTAATCTTTGTTCTGTATTTTTATAGAAGCTTTACATCTATGCAGTTTTCTTGTGTTACAAGCATTAATTTTAAATATATTAATGGAAAGTTTTGTGGAAGAATAAAGTCTGGTGGGAGAAAAATGAATCGTATAATAAATTAGTTTCATTTTTTAAGTTGAATTACTAAAATACAACAACTTTTTAAAATAAAGTAATGTTTAGAGACGCACATGTATGTTTGTGAGACTGTGTGTATGCACGTATGTTTGTGCACAGGTGATGGCGAGACAAGCAATGGTTTCTTCCATCACTGCTGTGATTTTCAAAGCAGTATTGGTGTTAGCCTTTTTCATTGTTGTTTTTGATGTCATGTTCAAGAAGAGTTGCTTTTCAGTATGCAAATGTATTATTTTTTAAGAAATGCTATTGTACTGTAAATATCATTATGTATATTTTTGTATCATCTTGATAATGTTTGTTGTCGTCCGACCTAACCGCACGCGCTCCCCATCAGAGCACCAAACTTCTTCAGCAGTTTTAAACATCTCATAAGCTACACCATAATGCACGTCGTTCTCGTTTTCCGCCTTTGTGCCCACCTTCCCTGTGTCAGCTCAAGGTTGTTCTGCTCCACCTTTTGCCATGTTCTCAGATGTCAAACTCACGCTAAAGCAATACTTTCTTTTCACACTTTGATCCTAACTGATCTCCGCTTCCTGCTAATGAATTTTAAGTAAACATTTGTTCAGTGATGGTGATTTTAAAACAAAAGAGATGTGATATCAGCTGGCATTCATTGTAATTATTGATCTATGTGAATATCATGTTCTAAATGTCAATACATGGTGGTATTTTAAAGATATATCACAACCATATTTTAAAGAAATTCATGATATTGTTTATATTTTGTTATAGAAAAATGTGGCTTTTTAAAAAAAAACAAAAAGCATGAGACCATTTACATTTGTATCCCCCTTTTGTTTGTTTTTTGTTTCTCTTTGGTAAATTATTTTGTACTGGTTTTATTATTGATCTGTAAGGCTAGAAATCCAATTTCTTTCAGCTTAATTTGAATTTGATATTTTTTTTTATTCTATCCTTTCCAGCTCGGAGAGCATTCACATGTTTCATATCCAAATAATAATGAGACACAAAATTTAAATGTATGAATCAATCCGATAAATATTTGTCATCACCTCATAATTTCTTCTTACTTTCAAGTGAGTCAGTTCAGCATTGCAGGCAGCAGGCCAAGTGTGCAGTTGCGCAATCACATTAAAGGGCCATTTCTTTTGGGGGATGTTGTTAAGAAAAAAAATGTATAAAAAGGAAAAAATAAATAAGAAACAAAAACAGAGCGGAAAGGGGCACGTTCACAAATCTGGCCTTGAAAGGATGCAGAAGGCAAGGCTTGTTAAATGTCCCAAGGATGTCTGTATATATGTAAATTAACATAGAGACAAGTGAACAGAAATGTATTCATTTTCCTTTGGGAATGTGCATTGTTTCTTCTGAATAATATTAATAATAATAATTTAAAAAAAAAAAAGCTTGCAACACCTCTACTGGAAGTGGCTGACTATGGAAAATCAAACATGTTAGTTTGTGTCGGTGGGTTAACTCGGCATTTTGCCCCCCTTACTTTGTAATATACTTTCACCCTTTTCTGTTTGGGGGAACTGGAACAGCTAAGTTCTAAATGTACTGTTTCGCCTAAGTGTTCTAGTTTCACAGGCATACTCTGAGGTGCTAAAGCTGAAAAAAAAACAGAATAAGGTTACAAACACAAACAGAAAAGCCACTCAGCAGTGCAGAATGATAATGGTGAAAAGAATGGGTTCTGAAGATTGTAACCAAAATCCATAATTTATAAAAAAAAAAATAAAAATAAAAAATTATATGAAGATTTGGAAAATGACAACAATCTAAGGTGATTCATGCAATGTGGCCATTATCTCTATGTTTGTACATTGTATGTACAATAATTTCATACTCCAAACTGGTCAGAAAATAATGGAACTAATTGTGATTTTTAGTCTTGCAGAATTGTATGTAGTTAGATGTGACAGCCTAATATTTATCTAATAAATATGTATTCAAATGATTCCTGCATGCCTGTGTCTTGTCTTTGCTTCCTTCACAACAGCCAGTTCATTCACAAAATGTGAATTATAAGCATCAGATTTGAAGCAGCACATGTTTGTTAGATTAAATTAACAGATATACAGAACAAGATATGCATTTAAAAAATAGAACAGTTGTGGCAGAAGAATTCAGGGTTCTCGGTTGCTCAACATTTATGTCTCCTGGCGAGGTTCTGCTGGCTTCTATGCCACCCTGGATCTTGTCACCAAGCTCCTCACTTTTAAAAATCTGCGGATATATCCATCCACTCCACATTTGTCCACTGCAGCTCAATCATTCTCAGCCTTTATCAGTTTACCAGCGATGCACTTTGTTCAGAAATCACATGAACAGAGGGAACAGAAATCATGGATCTTACTTTCTACAATGCTTCTCGTGGAAATACCCTGTAAACTGCATCCTTACCATTCTCCTCCAGGATCACTCTTCCCTGAATATTAGCTCCCAACTCCAGATCCATAAGCCATTATTACCTATCTGTCTTGTCGAGATCAATCTACAGGCTGCCATAGCCCTTTTTAACATCACCGCTCTTCCTCCAGATGCGGTCAGAACCAGAAACTCACACCTCCATTTATTGTGTACATTAATTCATTATTACAAGTAAAGTTAATCTTTTTCACTGTGTCCTGCTTCTGACACTGCATTGGAGATGAAGTAGATGCTTCCCCCCTACAACCATCAGCCTCATCAACAACTCTTTGAATAAAGAGTTACATTGTATTTCCCTTTAGGTTTAGCATAAGATTTAATTTAGGGCTGCATATTTGAAGCACTGTAAATTAAATTGTGAGACGGATCTTAAACAAAAACGTAGGATAGGTCTGAGTTCAACTTCTAGCTTGTGGTCTTTCAGCATGGCGTTTGTACATGTGCATTTATGGGTTCTCTCACGCTTTTGGAGTATTATTATGCTCTTTTTACCTGTCAGGACAGAAGCATTGTTGAACAGAAAAGAAATACTAAAACAGATGAAAGAACAAAATTACACAGGAACTTATCAGAGATTATGAATGGATCATCAGGGCCATAAATTGTTTGTTTTTTTCCAGTTATTGTTACACGCTCCTGTCCATTAGGTGACGGTAATACGCTCAAACAAGCAGCTGTCGTCATCTCTTTCCGTTTCCTCTCTTCCAGTCTCGCGATAACTCCGACACCAAGCGCGTACTTTACGTCATGTTGCGAGAGTATCCTTCAACACTTGCTTCTACAAAACAGTGTGACTTTAGCTTGTGGAGCTGAGTGATAGTAGTTGATTTAAGATGTTGGTTTTGTCAAACAGGATAAAGTTCTGTTCTCTGGCGTTCACCGCCGCTCGCCTGTACAGCAGCGGAGCCGCAACAGCAAATAAAAACCCCCGGGTTTACTTTGACATTGCCGCGGACAACGAGCCTCTGGGCAGAGTGACATTTGAGGTGAGCAGTTAGAGGCTGGAAAGTTTCTTTGCTTTCCGTTTGTCAGCTTTATTTACTCTGCTGCGAAATATTAAAATCTTATATTTATTTTTCAAGCTCAACGCAGATGTTGTGCCAAAAACAGCAGGTAGGTGTTCATTTTTTTTCCATTGTTACTTTTTTTATTTTGTACTTGAAATGTTACTATAAATTAAAGTTAGTACAGAGGTAAGATGGAGCACACGTCTGCTACTAATGCAGAATTGAGACATGATGAGATCTAAAGCCAGGCAGGTTTGAACTGGTTGAGTTTGGCAGGAATCGTAAAGATTTAATGCAGACTGAGCACAAGTCAGTTGTTGCTTCAAACTCATCTGCATCTGCTTTCTGGACCTCTCTTGAGAATAGAAGAAATGACTGATATCTAATATCTCTTGTAGAAAACTTCAGAGCGCTGTGCACAGGAGAACATGGATTTGGTTACAAGGGCTCCACTTTCCACAGGGTGATCCCTCAGTTTATGTGTCAGGTAGGGGTTTTCCTCCCTTTGTCATCCTGCTGTCTGTCGTTTTTAGTTACTTTTATTTTGTTTTCAGGGTGGAGACTTCACAAACCACAATGGAACTGGTGGGAAGTCAATTTACGGTTTGAGATTTTCAGATGAAAACTTCAAGCTGAAGCACACTGGACCTGGTAATAATGCCATTTTGTACATTATTCACATTTCAAGACTTTATTCTCTAGTAATTAAATACAAGAATTTTCTCTAAAACAGCTGTGTGTGACATAAAACATGAGCTGACACAATAGCCTCAATTTTTACCATATTTGCACAATAAATGGAAAAAAAAGCATCACATTATCCAACTGCCTGTATTTCTACTATTGTAATGTGATTTTTAAATTTTGCAATAGTGTTTTTCCTGCCAAGCAAATGCTATTGTAAAATTGTTAAAGATTTAGCCCTTTCCAAACAAATCACTTTTTTTTCTTTGTCAAAAAACACAAGTTTGTGCATGCATAGTTGGGTGTTTCATGTACAACCTGTATGTGGAACAGATTATTTCAAGGGTGTGCCCTGATTTGTTCAAACCTCCCATTCATAGGAAAACACCAAAGTTACCTTCTCAATTTACTTTCAGTAAATTGAGAAAGTAGTGACAGCTGGTATTTTTCTGCCCTAAATCTGTACTGAAGTTATATATGTTTAAAATGAGACAAAATGGACCAAAAGTGTTTGGAAAGAGTGTTACTCTATATTTAAAAATGTGTTTTTAGGCTGACTTCTCTGTAGTTTTAAACTGCTATATGAGAACATTAAATGTGGTCATTTTAACCTTTGTTCTGATGGTAAATAAATTATTTGTGCTTTGTTCTGGGCTAAATATAGAGAAACACAGAAGTAGTAGATAGCAAATAATGCAGCGTAGTTAATGTATGTTAACTATGCTAAAAAAAAGTACATTGGCAAACTGTTTTCCTTCCTCTAAACTGTCAAATAATCATATGTTGTGGTTTCCTGTATATGTGGAGGGTGTCAATGACTACTGCTTAACACATGTCAACTGAGCAGTCTTGATGATTGGGTAGGCAACTTTTGTAAAGCAGAGAAATCTTTTCTGACACAAAAACTCAATTTGTGGTTTTAATTTTTTTTTAAAAACGTGCCATAATAACTTTAAATATATCTGTTCTTAATGCATCTGGATAATTTATTGGTTTCACATTTTTAAATTGAACTATTACTTGTATAGTTCTTGTCATGCTTATTTTTCTCCACTAGGTGGAGGTTGAGTGCAGTTTTCATAAAATTCTGATCATGTCTGAATGAAACACTGTTTTAGTGGCAGCAGTTGAAATAAAGTCTGTTGATTAAGTAGGGGAGTCAAAGATCTAAGTCTAAAACGCTGCAGTGAAAGAAAAAATATGTATTTTGAGCCGTTGATTAAATATTTTCTTTTATATTTTCTGTGTTTTTAGGTATCTTGTCTATGGCCAATGCTGGACCCAACACCAATGGATCTCAGTTCTTCATTTGCACCACGAAAACAGAGTGGTAGGTACAGGAAAACCTCACCAAAAAAGTTGACAAATAATTCAAGCAGTTTGATCTTTTTAATTTGTATGTCTTTATCCATTTTTATCTGTTAATTACAGGTTTCTCTACTTTTGTGCTTTATTTTGTTGTTTGCACAACAACATAAAAAAAACAGTGGCTGGTGACAAATGCACAAATCTGTGTGAGTCCTTCTCACACAGATCCAAACTAATGTTCACACTTCTCGAGGAACCAAATTATTTGACATTCTTTCCCAAATTTACTTTCAATCTGTTTATTTAGATAGGAAAAAAGTTCAGGATAAAAAACAGGTGACGGCATTTACATTTCTAGCTGTGTTCACTTTTAAAGCACTGGAAGGTGAATATTTTTCTCTGGTAAAGGTCTTAATATCCTGCTTCTATTTTAAGCCTGGTATCGTCTGACAAAGCTGTGCTCTGCTTTAAGGGAGGAATATTTTATGTGTGAACAGAAATGTTTCCCTTTCACTGTCAGCTCAGCTGCAGTTCTTGCTTGGATATTTGTAGCAAAAGTATTCAGTCAGTCACCCACAAATTTGACAAATGCCAATTTAAAAAGATAATTTTTGCCAAGAAAACAGTTCCAGTCCTATCAGCCATTGTCCATCAAACAATATAAATCTAGATGTCATGTAATCATTCATATACAGTATGGTACTCCATTTCCTGATGAAGTTGTTTTAATTTTTAATAACCAGAAAGGCCCATAATGATTTATTTATGTCTTTAAGATGTATTTATTCTTTGTATAAGAATCAAAGGTAATTTCTTTTCCCCTTATGGTCATGAAAACAGAAAGTTCTGTGAATCATGGTTGAGGACAGTGAAATGGTCTCAAAAACAACCGATCCATTACTCTTCTTAAAGACGGAAGTCTTGGTCGATCACCTCACTGTCCAAGGCAGCAGCAATAAAACAAAGTTCTTCTTCCCTCAGGCTCGATGGTAGGCATGTTGTCTTTGGCAGTGTGAAGGAGGGAATGGACGTGGTCAAAAAAGTGGAGTCCTACGGTTCCCGGTCTGGGCACACCTCCAAGAGGATCATGATCACAGCCTGTGGAGAGGTTGAGTAGATGCCCACTTGAGGACCGGGTTCTGTCAGAGTCTTCTGTAATCTCAACAGTAGATACCTTTCATTATTCATGGCACAAAGAGCTACCTCTCTTTGGTAACAATGGATGACTGCATTTCATGTTTCTGTGGTGACATTTGAATGCTGTTGGTTTTTACTCTGGTACCCTTCAAATGTGAACATATTCTGTTGGAAATCAGGTCCTATGCATTTTTTAAAATGTATATGGTTTTTGTGAAAGTGGAATTATTTGTTAAATTTTTTTAGCAATACATGATTGGAATTATGATTGTTGTCCTAAAAAGATACTTTTTACTTGAAAAGTGTGAAATAAAGCCAATTACTTCAAAGTTATAAAGTTATTTTGCAACAGTTTTCTTTCGTACTTTGCATCATGACAGTGGTTGATATA